ATTAACTATATCTAAAATTGCATGTTCTGTCGAGTGTTGTGATTGAAAACCGAATTATTTTTTATCTGAGAGTTTGTTTTGAATTAGATATTCATATAGTCTATTGCAGATTGTTCGTTCAAGTATTTTAGAAAAATTGGAAGAATTGAAATTGGTCTGTAATTATTTATTTGATATGTTTCACCGGTTTTAAAAATAGGTATAATTTTAGCTACTTTTAATTTATCTGGTACAGTTCCAGTTTTAATTGATGATTTGAATATTTCAAAAATAGGTTTGCGTATCTGCGAAGAGACATTAGCAACAATATTACTGCTAATGTCATCTACACCTGGAGACTTGTTTATTTTAATAGAGTTTATTGCATTTTCGAATTCATAAATTTTTAGTTCTTTAAATATTAGTTCGCTGTTGACACTAGTTAAGTAAGTTTCAAATGAGTTGTTTGGACAGTGGATTTTTGAAGCTAGATTTGAGCCTATGTTGACAAAAAAACTGTTAAATTTTTCTGAAATTACATTATAATCGTCATACTCATTATTATCTATGACAATTTGTGCAGGTAAACTATTTAATTTGCAGTGTTCAGTCTCAATTATTTCTTTTATGATATCCCAATTTTTTTTAATATTACCATTTGAGTTTTTTATTTTATTTGAGTAATAGTTTTTCTTCGAATTTTTTTAAACTTTTTCAAGCAAGTTTTTATACTGTTTGTAAACATTTAGGTTTGCCTCACTTCTATTTTTTAAGTATTTGATATAAAGTTTTTTTTTTTTTTTTGGAGGATATTTTAATACCTTTGGTGATCTAAGGACATTTTAAATATTTTTCTTTTATTAATTTTTCTTTAATTGGGAAATGCTTATTATAGTTTTTTAGGAAAATTTTTTCAAAGTAATTATAAGCAGAGTTTTTGTTCCCAAGGTTGCATTCTTGGTATACCTTGTCCCATTGTTCTGCCGATAGTGAGTCTTTAAATTGTTGAATAGGAAATTTGTTGATTTTCCTTTTATAAATTTTTATTTTACAACTATTTATAGATTTTATATCTTGTGCCAAGGAGAAAAAAACAGGAAAATGATCAGAAATGTCTGTATTTATTATTCCTGCCTTTTAGCTACTTTATTTAGCCAGTGATGTTTACAAATAAGGTTCGCGGCAGGGTTAGGGTTTTATAACTCGCCATATCAAAAGGGTATCTCAAAAATCAACTCTAAATTTATCACTGCTAAGAAAGAATAAGGAAAAAACAACTTTTCAAATAATTAAATAAACAATTCAAAAATTATAGTATTAAAATAACTGTAGTATAAAATTATTTAAATGATTAAATAAAGTCAATGGGCATTCACTGATAGCATCATACAGGAAGCCAAATAGTTATCTTATATAAGCTCAGGATAATACAATTTATATTACCCATTTGGGTTTGGGTAAATATGCAACAATTAGTTGTTATTGAGTGCTTGTAATCTTTATATTTACAATAATAGATGTGAGGCGTTTTGTTAATAATTAATATCTCATTTGAATAACCAACCGATTCTTATTTGGTTTTCTAATTTTTGATTATATATTATTTTTCTAATATATATTTAAAATAGATTAAAAGACTGTTTATGCTATATATGTTCTCCCAGTAAAAAATAAAACTGCGTCCCACATGGGTTCTGTGTGGGATTCATCGGATTTATATGGGACGGATTTTCCCATGTGGTATCCGAATGGAAATTTGCCTCTTAAAACCCATATGTGTAAATCCCACATGGGTTACATGTGGTATTTACTCACATGGGAAATCCCACGTGGGTTTCTTGTGGGATTTACATGGGATTTAATTTGAAGGCTGGAAACTAAAATAATCTTAAATGTTAAAAACAACATTACATTACTTTCGCGGTGAAGTTACATGCATCTTGTTTTAGCATAAAAATACCTTAAATTAATCTTAAAAAATGACAAGCAAGTATGTAAGTACTACAAATAATTTGTATCTCTCTTTATCGAATTAAGAATTTTTGTGCAAACAAAAGTATTATTAATATGATAATAGTTGTTTTAATATCAGTATATATAATAAAAGAAATAAGTTTAAAATTCACATAATTTCCCTTTTTCTTCAATGAAAATGAAGAGAAATAAAGAAAGGGGAGAAATTCGGTAACTTTTTAGGATTAAAAACTCTTAATTTAAGATTTTATAAGGGACATTTGAACTAGATTGAAGAACCTAAACAGGAAATTTACAGAAACATTTCAATTTTTAACTTGAATACCAATGTTATTGGGAATAAAGACTCCTAAGTTTTTAAAGTAATATGAATTCAAGTAATATATATATATATATATATATATATATATATATATATATATATATATATATATATATATATATATATATATATATATATATATATATATATATATATATATATATATATATATATATATATATATGTATGTATGTATGTATGTATGTATGTATGTATGTATATATATATTTATATATATATATATATATATATATATATATATATATATATATATATATATATATATATATATATATATATATATATATATATATATATATATATCGCTCGCTTTGCAAGCGAGAGGTTCGGAGTTCGACTCCGACCATGTCCTTGGAAGTACCGCGCTCAACTTAATTTCTCGGCGCAGCGGCCTTGGTTGTCAAGGTTCGTGTTTCGGAGTTAAAGAGTTGAGAGATGGTTGTACCATGATTTACAAAAAAAAATGTGTCGTAGAGGCTGTAAATACCCTGAAAGTGTAATGAACTCATCAAAATCCAATATTTCAGTCATGTTTTGTGGCAACGCTGCTGGATGTACAATACTACCTTACGTTATCTACAAATCAGAAAATCTGTGGTCAACGTGGACTAAAAACGGTCTCGATGGAACTAGGTACAATCGCACAAAACACGGATGGTTAGATAGTGTCACATTTGAAGAATGGTTTACTGCTCATCTGCTTCCTATACTGAAAAAACAGACTGGAAAAAAAGTTCTTATTGGGAAAAATTTATCATCACACATCAGTCAGAATGTTTTAAAACTATGTCAAGTAAATAACATAGTATTTGCGTGTTTACCACCTAACTCATCGCATTTAACACAGCCTCTAGATGTTGTATATTTTAGGCCACTAAGAAGTAAGTGGAAAACTGTTTTGACTCTGTGGAAAGAATCACCTGCAGGTAAAAAATTCACAACACTTTCAAAAGGACGCTTTCCACCACTTCTAAAAAAAGTACTGGAATTAATAAAAGACGCTTCTAGTGAAAATTTAATATCAGGTTTTGCTAAGTGTGGAATTTATCCTTGTTATAAAGAGCCTCTTATTAATCGTTTGCCACTGCAGGATCGATCATCTGTTGATCTAAGCTTTATTTCTAAAGCATTTATCAGTCATTTAAATGACAATCGTGCAGACCTTGTACCTTCAATATCAAAGCGCAAAAAGAAACTAAATGTTCCACCAGGAAAATGTGGAACATTTCGTTTCTTTCTGTGAACAGAACAAAAAAAAAAAGATTAATAAAATATACAAAGTATTTTGTATAATTTCTATTTTTCTTTTGCTTTAAATAGATCTAAAGACAATTGTTTTAACAATATAGAAGTATTTCTTTAAGTAAATTTTAAGTAAGTATTTGTTTTAACATTATGGAGGTATTCACCTAAGTAATTTGTAAGTAAATATAACAAAACAGCACAACAAGTATACATGGCTTAAAGAAACACCAACCCAGGGTAACATTATGCCACATTTTGAAAAACTAAAAAGTATATCTGTTTTTTATTTATTTTATAAATCAATAAGTTCAAATTAAAGGATATCTTAAAAAATGTTTTGAATAAAAATAAAATTGAAAAAAAAATTTGAATAGAGCAAAGATGATAGTTATAACCAAAAATTGCAATAAAGTGGATTAAAGTAACCCCGTGTTACGGTACGCAAAAGTTGTGAATCCGCATCCAGTTCTTATCGGAAAAAACTTACCAAACGCGGCTTAATAAAACAGTGTTGGAAAATTATAATGGGAAAAAAATAAAATGATGCTGTCTAGCTAGTATAATAATGGTGTATTGTCTGCTCCTATTTTAAATAACGGTATTCTTTTGTTTTTATCTGAATTGTTCGACACAGACAAACAAATGTTGCACAATCTTATTTAATTCTAAGTTATCATTTGTTTTGTAAGAAGGTAAAACACTTTTTTTTTTTCTCGAAATTGTTTAATGAAATATTTAGGAGCAAATTCTATATTTTGGCAATCATGGCTCCAGCAAAACAATATTTGAACGAGAACCAACGAAAATTAATTTTGAATTTAGTTAAACAAAAAAAAACTTACAAAAAAAAACTATTGAAAAAGAGACTGGAGTTCCACGTTCCACCATTTTAAGCATTGTAATTAAGTAGAAAGTCACCTTACTGTAAAGATTTTGAAAGGAGATAAAACGTAAAACTACTATCAAAGAAGATCACTTGAATGTAGGATTATTTAAGAAAAGTAGATTCGAGTCATCCAGAAAATTGCAGAATATATTGAAAATAACACTGGAACCAAAATAACTGATAAAACAATCCGAAATTGTTAACATGAAAATGGGTTTAAAAGCTACACACCTCGTAAAAATCATTTTTGATACAGCAACAAAAGAAAAAACGAATATTATTTGCTTAAACTCATGTTAATAAACCAATTTCATTTTGGAAGAAAATACTGTGGTCGGATGAATCTAAATTTAATATGGTACATTCTGATGTGAAACAAAATGTTTGGAAAAAAACTGGTGAAGCTTACCGTTTAAGTTGCATGCAAAGAACCGTAAAACATGGATGTGGTAATATAATGGTATGGGACTGTATATCATGGATTGGGTTAGGACTATTGTAATTGTAATGAAGACAATAACAAAAACAATAACTATTGTTATTGCATTAACTTTTTTAGAAACAACAACAATATTTGTGATTTGCGATTATTTTAATACTGTAATACAATAACAATAAATATTGTATCGCACGGTTAGCCTTAACTAATGTTAGGTTTTTTGAATTGTGTCCAAATTAATTTCAACGTTTTCTGAAAGAGTATAGTTTACTTATCACTATGTATATAGTCCACTAAATCAGAAAACTCCTATGAGGTAATTATGGCGTTTTAAAGATTTTTTCGCGCTTTTTATTTCGCGCCTTTTTTGCAAGTGTTTTGCGCCATTTTTTAGTCCGCCATGTTTTCATTCAAAATTTTGTTGTTTTCATTCAAAATTTTGTTATTTTAGTTAAAAGTTACAGACAATTTATTAGTAATTAATAATACAGAAGGTATTTTGTTATATTACATTGTTAAAGAGTGGATAATCACATAATCAGAATGTTTTAAATCATCAAACGAACATATATTTACAAATATAAATTTAAAAACTATTACTTCTCGAATTGAATCACTAAAAAATATCAACATTTAGATCAACATTTCCAAGAGAAACAAGATGTTTTCCATTATATGAACTTAATGCTCTTACTAAATTATGTCCATAATTAGAATTATTTGCAGACACCTTGTAGCGGTTCCATGAGACAGTTTTGAAAAGGTAGTGAACACTTTCTCCAGATTGCTCCAAATAAACTCCAAGGCTCATTTTTTTTGTTTTACAGAATTCAGATACATGATTGAACAGGATATGGAATTTTGGTGTTAAAGTAATACCATTTTCTAACATCAACTTTTTATAGCAGGCTTTTAAATTTTCGATATTAGTTTGAAAGTTTTCATCAAGTCCGGATCAAAAAAACAAGACTAAACAACTAAATTTAATAACCTTAAGCATTCTCTAAAAGACTTTAGTTTAATTGGCAGCTTATTATAAAACACTTCCCATTTTTTAAGAATTTTTCGAGAAGAATTTCCATTAAATTTTCCACCATGCTGACCAGTCTTAATAATTTGCAACTGTTCATAAATCTCCTTCATACTCATTTCCGACCAAATCTGCTCCATGTTATCCATTACATGATTGACTGTTCCCTCCATTATATGAAGCTCCGGTAAAACAAGTCTATCTATAAGAAATTCAGAGGGGTTTCCATGTACAAATACAGGGTTTATACAATTCTTAAAATGTTGTGCACACTTAGGTTTTGAACCAGATTCTTTGAATTTTGTATAGTTTTCTTGACAGCTCTCAAAGGTTCTGTATTTTTCCAAGCTTCTCTTCTATCCCACTCACATACATAACAGGGATGAATCGAACTGCTACTTGGAGATATACCTGTCAGAATTTGACTAAGTTTTATGTTGCATACCCCAATGTGCTCAACTTTATCAAGATTTAGTTTTTCAAATAATATTTTAATGTTAAAATATCTTTCTGGGATCTCTAGAGCTACCAGAAGAACAAATGAAGCATTTAATGACGAATCTTTGAATTTCTTTATTAGACCATCTTTATATGAACCCCTGCAAGCTGTTACGGGTTTTGTTTTAAGGTGATCTATGTCAAATTTGCCGTAATTTTCAAAAATTTCATTGATATCAACATGTTTAAAAAAAATTTGATAAAACCACTTCCCCCATCAACAGCAATTTTAAACAACTGATTCTTAGAATCAACACATTTAAGATCCAGGAGTAGTTTAACAAAAAGAGTAACATAATTGCAGTACGCGACTGTAGTATTTTTATATTCCAAAGTTTTATCTTTATTTTTAAATTCAAATAAAATATTTTCTTCAGTAAATAATGGGAGAAGATAACTATCCAAATCAGAGACACAGTCTTTCAGTCCAGGTTCTACAGCGTTTCTTCTTTTTTCAACAACTCTGTAATTAATAATTTTTTTTAATACTAAATTTTGCTACAAGTGTTTTGTATTAGTATTGTAATTTTACCTTATCATATTAGCAAGTTTTATAATTTGATGATTACTTAAGGAAAGAGAATTCTGTATACAAAGAAGATTTTTGTGAGTAAAATTAGTTGTTTTTGGAGTATTCTCAGATCCAATAGATAATTTTAGCTTACTACCTCCTGTCTTCAATGAAATGGTGTTACCACTTTCACTGCATAGCTTTTCTTTAATAACGTGGGAAGCCATTTGTTCCTTGACATCTAAATAAAAGCTTGCTTAGGTTCAAAAACTTACTAAGGTTAAATTAAAATCATCATTTTTGATTTATTAATCTTAACATTTCTTTCACTTATCTCTCTATTAGTAACGCAAAATAATACAGCTTTTTTAATACCTTGATATCCTGGTGCAGCTGATATGTTATTTCTAAAAAAAATAATTTACATACAAATTGTTTTCTATAGAACATGTTATACAATCTTTCAAAGTTAAATATTCAAAGTTATAAACACGTTTTCTACCTGAGCCTTGTTGGATTGCATTTATGATGCAATCCTCTTTTAACTTTAGTCAGAGAAAAACTACACCGCGGACTAACAACTGCCGTTTTAAAACTCTTTATACAAGATTTTTTCTTGGGTATCCTTCCCTGCGTTCTTGCAATTTTACATATTTCACAGCTACAAGTTTTTAGTTTCCTAAAATTATAAAAAAAAATTATAATTTTGCATTTCTTTACAACAGAAATATAATTAAAACAACATTTTACCCGTTTCGTATTTTAGCCGGAAGAGTCATCTTTGACCAGTCAATGTCAAACCTAATTTTTTGTCTGAGGTCAACCACATTTGTTCTTTCAACTATACCCCTACACCTTAAATAGATAAAGATATGCTAGTATCAAGCAAAATGTGATTTGATTCATTTATTAAATCTTATTTCTTTGAGTTTAACAAGGTATCCCATTTTTCAGTTATGTGAATTCACATTACTGAAAAATTGGATACCTCGCAGTAAAAAGTAAATATGTCATAAACGTAAAACCATTCATTAATGGTTTAACATTTATGACATATTTACTTTTCATATATTTACTTAAATAAAAATCAATCAAGTATACCAACCTAGGACACAATCCAGTAGGATATCGGTCATCAGCAATGTTATAATCCGAAAAACAGTTCTAAAATTTAGAAATTAAATGGCTTTTGCTGTTTATTTTCATATGACATTTGCGACCACAAAAAAGGCTTTTTCTCTGTTCTTTTGATGATCTAAAATAGTCTGAGGATGTGATTTACCAATTCTTAACATTTTTTTAACAAAATTTGTTCTATGATTGTCTTTTGCAATTAAATCAGTGGCAGAAGAAATGGCGGATTACTGATGGCCTTAAAAGACAAAAAAGGCGCGAAAAAAAGGCGCGAAAAAATCTTTCAAACCCCATAATTACTTAATAGGAGTTTTCTGATTTGGTGGACTATATACATAGTGATAAGTAAACTATACTCTCTCAGAAAACGTTGAAATTAATTTGGACACAATTCAAAAAACCTAACATTAGTTAAGGCTAACCGTGATCGCAATTCATCTTCATAATACAATAACAATATCTGAAAAAAAATATATATTGTAATGACCCATTACAATAACAATAAATATTGTATTGTAATTTGTCTTTATGATACATTAACAATTTATTGTTATTGTAATGAAACAAATTATTTTAACGTCAAAATTTAATAAATATTTTAACAGTCCAGTCTCCAAGATATGTCACCTTGAAATAGGGTACAAATAATACATAATTATTGATTCTATTTCTATTTATTGAATATCACTTGTCCTCGTTGCAAACTTTATATAGCTCTATAAAAGTGAGTTTGATCTGACCTGTACTTCTTTTACTGCTGGGGATACACATGATCAATTACTACCAATTCTTTCACTTAGTTATTTGCTTTTACATTAGGCAGCTATCCAATTGTTTCGAAACTTACTCAAACTACATTTACACTTATATCATTTTTTCTCGTTTTCCTGAGCTGTGTGTTTTTCATAAAGTAACTGGATATCTAGTTGCAAAGTTATACAAGAATGTTGTTACATAAATCAAGAACAATATTTATTTGGTATTCTAAACTGCCTCATTTTTCAAAAATGACCCCCACAAAATTTACTGGTACGGTCTGATAGGTGATGAACAATCTAAAAATGTAGAAAATTTTTTATAATACAAATGTAGTTTACATTTTCAGACAATCTAATCGATAATTACCCATGTCAACACCCAGTTCTCTGATTCCATAACGCTGAAAATTATTACATATTATTGGTTAACTATATTGAAATAAAAAATTATTTTCACGCGCTTTATGTAGTTAATAAATTAGTTTAGACGTCATCATCCGGTGAAACATTTCAATATCAGTTTAGACAAAATTATAAAAAAAGCGAAAATTTCACTTCACAAAGTAAATAATTAATTAATTACAAGCATATGATAAATTATATATTTGTAAAATTTTGAATGAATATTATTAATGTTAACTCTAAATAAATTATTATTTAAACAGTTATGTTATTGAACTCAAAATAAATAAAATTTAAATAAGTAAATGGTTGCTAGAAACGGGTGCCACGAGCGCCCCTGAAACTAGTATTTATTAAGTATACGTTATGTATATACTTCTTTGGCTTCTTCTTTGGCTTTCCAGGCTTCACTTTATTTCTCAAAATAAATAAAATTTACATAAATAAATGACAGCTAAAAACGAGTTTCACGGGCACCTTTGAAAAAGGTGCCCGTGAAACTCGTTCAACATGACAATGATCCGAAACATAAGTCGAAAAAAACAACAGAATTTTTACAAATCAAATCCATAAATATTCTTGAATGGCAAGCACAAAGTCCATATATAAATCCTATCGAAAATTTATTGTCGAATTTAGATAAACAAATAGGAAATCGTCACTTGAAGCGAAAGAAAGAATAAGAAACTGCTGTCACAAAGGCTTGGGATGAAATAAGTTCTGATATTACATAAAAATAAGTGGAATGTGGCGGGATAGCTCAGATGGTTAGAGCGTTAAAGGAAAAGTTAAAACCTGGACTGTTAAACGATACGAGTTCAAATCCCGCCACCGCCAACTCAGCGCTTGAGTAGTACTTTGGTACGTAAAAATGTTGGTCAATAACGGACGCTACTTTGGAGTAGTCTTAATGACTATTTGTAGCTGTTCCTATGCTAAGCCAACAATATCTTCGGATATAAGAACATTGTATAGAAAAATATAGCACGAAAACTCAAATAAATAAATATAAAAAAAAAAAGAAAATAGAATCTATGCCAAAACGATTGAATGCTATTATAAAAGTCGACTTCACGCAAGAATTTAGAGTATTTATAGACTTAATGTAATATTTTCTATTTAAAGCACGAGTTCAATTAACGAAAAAGTTTTCTTTAAAAAAATGCATATAAATAGATGGTCTTAACAAACTTAATGTTCGAAGGTTTAGTTCACAAATATTGCTTGTCAACTTTGAGTTAATCTAGCCAGTCAATCAATACAACGCATATATTTATATTTGTTATTTTAAAAAAATTGTTTCTTATTTACTGAAAATGTTTATTAAAAAAAAAAATATTTTTTTTCAAAGTGTTTTTTAAAGTGTTTTTTAAAGAAAATATATATATTTTTTTCAAAGTGTTTTCTTATAACTTATGGCATCTTTTATTTTGTTGTCTAGGTCATCTAGTTAAAATGTGGAAACAAACAAAACGAGATAGAGAGGAAGAAAATTCGAAAGTGGCAGTACAAAAAGAAAATTAACTGCAAAAAGAAAAGCAAATAGTGAAAAACTCAAAGGTGCTTTGAATAAATGCTTCAAAATAGGCAATGCTGACAAAGAACCAGATGAAAAAAAAGAAAAAGATCCCGGAGAAAATAATGATCAAAATCCAAAAGAAATTAATGAAAAGGATGAAAAAGAAAATAATGAAAACAAAAAAAACAACAAAGATAAAAAAGATGAAAACAAAAATTTTTGTAAAGATGAAAATACAATTAATGACAACGATATAGAAGAAAATAGTGCCAAAAACAATAAACAAGATGCCCAATTATAGAATCTTGAATTAAACATTACAGCAGAAACAATTCAACCGAATACGACTGGGAGTAAAAATGAATATTATAATGAAGAGCTGATTATAACAGATGACAACTTGGCCCGAGATAATTAGTCAACAAATAAGAGACTATTTAGTTAAGAAAGGACCACCAAAAATTCTTCCAGATGTCAAAACGATGAAAAACATTTTTCAAAAGTGCATTTAAAAAGAAAGCTTTCAAATGGAGAAATAATAGTTTGTCCTTGGATAATGTACTCTGAGTCAAGGGACAGAATACTTTGCTTTTATTATCACCTATTTAGTGTAGGGGTTACCATTTGGTGCACTTGCTTCTTTTTGATTTAATAACTGGTCAAATATTTACAAAAGATTACCATTACATGAAAACTCGAAAAATCATTTGATAGCAATGTTAAAATGTACAGATCTTTAAAAAAGACTGTCTGCTGAAGAAACAATCGATAAAGTGCAGCCCAATCAAGAAAAAATTCGTTGTAATAAAATTTTTGAAAGACTTTTTTCTGTGGTTCAGTTTTTAGCTGAACGCAATATAGTATTTCGAGGATCTGTTGAAAAACTAGGTGATGCAAGAAATGGAAATTTTATATGTATTATAGAGTTACTTGGAAAATTTGATCCAATAATGCAGGACCATCTACAGTGAATTGTCAGTAAAACAACTAATGAACGTTATCTAAATAAAACGATCCAAAATGAAATTGTAAATGTAATAGGCAGTATAATTCGAAATAAATATTCAAGAACGAATAAAAAAAGGAAAGTATTTTGCTGTTATTCTTAACTGTACTCCAGACATTAATCATAAAGAACAAATGTCTCTTAGCCTCAGATATGTTTCAGACGGTACACTACCAGGTTCAAGTGCCAATGTATATGAACAGTTTATTAAATTTTTACATGTAGAGAGCAGAACAGGAGAAAACCTACTTTCTGTGTTGAAACAAGAAATTCAATCTTTAGGACTCAACATTAATGACATTTGAGGGCAAGGCTATGACAACGATTCTAACATGAAGGGAAAGGTTTCAGGGGTTCAAGCTAGATTGCTAAAGGAAAATTCAAGAGCATTTTTTACACCTTGTACATGTCATAGTACATGTCATATCTCCTATTCGGAGGTATAGCCAAAATTTGTCCAGAAGCTATAACATTTTTCAGTATTCTTCAATGCTTGTATGTTTTATTTTTGGCATCTACAAAATGATGGCTGGTGCTTCTCAAATATGTGAATAAGCTTACTGTGAAACCAATTTGTGTACCAGGTGGGAATGTCGGATTTAAAGCGTTGAAGCAATAAGATTCCAAATAGGTGAATTTTACGATGCACTTTTTGAAGTATCAGAAACCTCCAAAAATCCGCAAATAAAAAGTGAAGCTAAATCACTTGGAAACTTAATGAGAAAATATGAGTTTTTAGTATTTTTTTTGGTATTACTTACTCTTCCAAGTAAACTTTGTAAGTAAAGAACTTCAATGTAAATCAGAAGATCTATCAGCAGCTCTTAGCTCATTTGAAAAACTTTTAAGTTGGTTGATCATTTACAGAAACACTAAGTTTGAGCACATTTTAGTCAAGGCAAAAGCACTCGCAGAAAACTTAGAAATATATCCAGAATTTCGAAATAACCGGCTCCGGAAACGAAAAAAGCATTTCAATTACGAAGGCAATGATGAGCCTATTATAGACCCTTTAAATACATTCAACATATCTTTTTTCATGTTAGTTTTAGATAAAGCTAAACAATTGCTAGAGGATCGTTTTGAACAATTAAAAAATTACGATAATTTATTTGGGTATTTGGGAAGATTTCAAAATATAAAAAAAGAAGAACTAAAAAAACATGCATTAGATTTAGAAATTGCTCTGACAGATTCTAAGATTATACAAATGGATATATCTAATGACACTGTGAAGCCTGAAGCAGACTTAGAAGGTAACATGTTACTTGAAGAAATGGAAGCACTAAAATCTATTCTTTCATCTGAATTTTATCTTGTGTTCTATGTTCTCTCATTCTGTTAATTACCAAATGGTTTGATCAAGCCTAAATTGTGTATTTTGACTGCAGACTGCAGCAATAGTTAAAACAAGTTTTTTTCTTATTATTTGTTAACGTGAAATATCCGACGTAACCAACATTATCCGGCCGGTCATCGGATAATATAAATGTCCGGCCTCCGGTCTAATAATCAATCCCAGACACCTCTATTACAGTAATGTGCGATGCGTGTTTAAAGACATAGGAAAATACATCTGAAAGCCGTAATGCAGCAATTAAAGATTTTATGTTATTTTAAAATGCTGTTGAATTTAAATACTTTATTAAAAGCCAGAAGACTTTAAATGCCAGGCAGCCAAGGGTACTTTAACCGGCCCAGGTATTTTTAAACTAAAAAAAAAATTATAATAAATAAAACTAATGTACAAATCCAAACAATAGTAAATAAATTTAAAAAATGAAGAAAAATGTGCAACAACTTGATAAACTGAAAAAATATAAAATATATTGAAAAAATAGAATACAATAATACTCACTTAATTTCAGAATTCATTCATCTAAATAACAAATAAAATAAACGAAAAATTTAAAATTGTGGTAAAGTTCAAATAAAACTTGTTTAAACAATTAACCGATATTTTCCAAAATAACAGCATTGTAAAATTAATATTTCTTTTTTTTTTACATAATTTAAATTTGTGATAACAATTTTTACACTTGCTCTATCGTCAATACGGTTGTCATTAGTAGTGTAACTTACGTCATTATTTTCATTAGTAATGTAATTTACGTCTATATTTTCATTAGTAATGTAATTTACGTCTACATTGTCATTAATAATGTAACTTACGTCTATATTTTCATTAGTAATGTAACTTGCGTCTTAAGTATTGTTACGTCTAACATAGCCATTAGTAATGTAACTTACGTCTATTTTTTCATTAGTTATGTAACTTAAATGTTGAGTCTTTGTTAATTATCAATAGTGATGTAATAATTGTTAATAAACTGTTGAGTTATTATGTTAGTTGACTATCAACCAAGATCATTTTCCATAATAATAGTACTAATTATGACTGGCTAATTCGTTACAAACGAAATATTAAAAGTATTAAAAAGTATTCAACGTACTCTTCTGCATTATTCTATATAATGGATAACTTTTCTCTAAAACAACTAACAGGAGACATTAATTTATAATTAGGAAGTTTTAAGTAATTATATTTTTTTTATTTGAAATGAACAAAGGAAAACACATTTAACTGATATGTTATCAATAATCCTTTTTTTGACAATCTTTTTAAATTTAGCAGGTGAATAGAAATGGATAGAATATGCATAAAAAACGAATATACTTGCAGTCTTAAAATTCCTTTTATAATTATTTAGCTGTTGTTCTCAACTAATTTTTTAATATCGTTAAAGTAAATAAAAAATTTATCAACCATACATATATATCACATAAAAGTCAAGTTTTTTTCTTTTTTTCAAAAAAAAATCTTAGTATTTTTTTTTTCAATAGGTGCCCCAAAAATTCCTAACGGTCTTGTCACAGAGCACTGCGGAAGTGCATTTAACCAGGAAGTGGTTTTAACCAGGAAGTGCATTTAACCAGGATTTAGTGGTTTTAACCAGGAAATTTAGCGGTTCTAACCAGGAAGTGCATTTAACCAGGAAGTGAAGCCTCCTTCTTTACCGTGACGCGAAATATGTCAAAAGCTCGTTTCGAACCTCGATCTCCTGCTTATAAGGAAGCGCTCCAACCACTGCGCCACGGCTGCACAAGTTTACTTATGTTTATATAAAAAACTGCACAAAAAATTGTTTGTCTGAGGCTACGTAAAGCAATTTTCGTTTGGTAAACGAAAAATTTTTATGTACGCGAAATGCATACGAAAAAATAACTTTTTTCCTACACGCTAGAAAAAGCTGAAAATAATTGCAGAAAAGTCTTTTTTTTAATTAGTTTACTGTTCCATGGTTTTAAAATTCTTATCTATTTTTTTTGTTATAAACTTTGCGATAACCAACTTCGCTCTCTCCGACTCACTTTTCTCACGGCGTTCCTTTTGCCCTTTGAACACGAATGATTAATTTCATTGAATAGGAAAAACCATGGTCACATGGTTTTTCCTATTCAAAAACCATGGTCACATATATATATATAAGATCACATAAGACTCTTTTTTTACCAATAGGCATCTGCAAGATGCTTATAGGTAAAAAAACCCGTTCATTAAGGTTTTCGCTAATATATATCGTCAGCTCAGAACACATGTGTCGTATCGATAATTTATTAAAAGTATATCTAAAAATGTAATTATCTAATTTGTGTAAATTAGATAATTACATAAATTTTTTAGTTTAATTAAACTAAAAAAGAAAGATTAAATAAGTATGATAAATGACGATTAAAACGAGTAAAAAAAATGTATAATATCCCATGAGTTTTCAAACAATTAATGTTTTATTATTATAATTTATTTCAAAGAATTATTTTACAACATTTTACAATGTAAAAAAAAATGTATATATATATATGTAAGTATTAGAAATGTTTAAAAAATCATAATGTTTTACAATACATTAAAAGTCTGAAAATTTAAAAGAATTAAATTTATACAAAAATATTTACAAAAGTTTAGAATAACTTATGGAGACATTTAATTTGTTATAAATTATTTTCAGTTTGGTGGCAGCAGTGGAGTAACCAGTTAGGCAGCGTTTGTTAATTTGCAAAAATAGAGCGATTAGAAGAAAATTTTATTAGACGTTCTGCTTCCATTCGTTCTTTTCTTGCTGCTTCAATTTCGCGTTCGTTTTCAATCGTACTGTTTTGATAATGCAATCGTATTTCGCGCAGTTCTTTTGTTGTTTCCCGTTTTAACAAATCGGCTTTGCTGTTCTCTATATCAACTTTATATTGCTGAAACAAGTTTTGAGTTCTACTTGAAATGCGGTTTCCTTTAGCTGGTGTAGGAGGGTCAATGTTTTTAAGACGGTACATTGAAAGATTTTGCGAGCGTTCTGTTAAAGCGGCTCCTACCTCCGTGCCTTCAGTTTCAATTCGTTCACCTAGTCTTTCATCAACTTTTTCTGGTGTGCACAACCTTCCTTCCAGAACACTAACAGTTTTATTCTCTTCTAAATTTATTAAAGTTGTTTTAAAATGTGAGACTTTTTAGCAAATAAAATACTTAAACAAACATAGCTAACTAACACTTAATATAGACAAGAAATATAAAAATTGAGATATATTTTAAAAGAAGAAATCTTACTATTTTCAAGAATAAGTTTTTCAGGGATTTTATCGGAGGGAGTGTGAACATGATCTGGCGTTGTGTTAAGAGTTTGTTCCAATAACTTTTCTGTTTTAGATTTTTTAGAGCTCATTGAAATTCGCTGGAGACCTGCTGATTCTACAAAATGATCATCTTGCAGTAGTTTAACAGGTCTTATAATTTCGTTTAATTTCGATGCTTCTTTAACCACATTAGGAAACGTCATTTGACGTGTCATTTTATTTGTTTGATGCGGTTGAGCAGTCTTTAGTAAATTTTCTAATAAAATAGTAAGAAATTAAAATTTTGAAGATAGAATATTGTTAACAATAAAAATATTGTTAAAAGCAATATTAATAAATCTTAATTAAAGAAATGCTTTTATTTTTAAAACTCTGGCTTAAAATATAATTATTTTCAAAAATTTTCTTTTGAAAAAAAAAAGCGCGTCAGTCTAATGTTTTTTGTAAAATAAGAAACTGCTTTTTCAAAAAATTTAAGCATTTACCTAATTTTTTTTCAGTAGCTGATTTTCTTCGACTTGTTCCAAGTCTTTGTAAACCGGCTTCCTCGACAAGATCGTAGTTGCATTGAGAATCCATGATAAATTTTTTTTTTTTTAAACCTTTAATCTAAAAAGTCATGTTTTTGATACATTTAATTTTATAAATAATTTAATTAAAATAATAAAAAAAATTTCAAACTACATGTTTAAAATTTTTTGTGTTTGTAAATTGTGTGTGTATATATATATATATATATTTCTCGCGTTACATCTTTAACTAACATCAATTTGTCCTTTTATCTAAAAATCCATTTGAGTCATCAGATGAGTATTATCGGATGTAATTATTCATCTTACGTCACTTTCAGACAAGAATTAACTTTGAATGTGTCAACTACCGACAAAGAAAAACTGATATTATGTCATATTTTCTGCTATTATTAGGTAAGTATTAGAGATATTTAATTGAAAGTTGTTAGTATTAAGTGGCAGTATAAAACACATGCCAAAAAAAAGTAAAGAAATTACATTGTGTCGTTGTTGACAACTGAACTTTTTTTTCTATGCCGGAAATGTTTCGTAACTGAATTGTTTTATTATCTAAAATTGAAATAAAAAAATTTCATGGCAAACACGTTTATGGCCCTTCATCTTTTAATAGTTATGTTTGAAACGTGTCAATATTGGCTATGATAATTGAAAAATTTGACAATAGAAAATAAATAAATAAATAAGTTGCCAGAATAATAATTTTGTTATTTTATAATATATTAATTTAGTCTTTTTATTTTTAAGTAAGAATAAAAGATTAATAAATTAAATGAATTTGTTTTTGAATATCGTAAATAAACTTTATTTATCAGGACGTAACGTAAGCGCATTGAATGATTAGTAAAAAGTTTTTGTTAAGTCAACAATGACGTTTCTGTTTTTATAGCAAACTCTTATTATTTCTAAAAATACCTAAATATAAACTATCAAAGGAACGGTAATTTTTTTTTTTACAAGGGAGACTCTAGGTGAATTTTAAATCCTATAAAAAGCTCAGTTTTTTTTTATTGAGAACTTCTCTCAAACTCTTGCGAATATTTCTCACTTGTAATCCGAGCATTTTAAAGGATCAAGAATTTGTCAAGGATCGTTTGATCAAGAGAAATGACAAAATTTATCAACCCTCTTGATCAAACTATGAATTAAACCGGTGTTAGATCTTGAGATAGTTCGGAGCCGTTTCCCTATCTCCTTCCACCTCACCTCTCCCCACCTCCTCCAAAAAAAACAACGAGCTTTTAGTGCCAGTTTAGTCTTCAAAAATTGTCTTTTATTTGTCTTTTTAAAAATTTTTTTTTTAAACATTGCTTTAAAAAAAATGTTTAAAAAAGAAATGTTTTAAATAATTTTAATTTTATTTTAATCGGATCATCTGTTATGTATATCTAAACGGCATATTATTTACAAAAATAAAAATTATCACTACCGTTACTCATGTAAGGTTTTTTATTACTAAAATATTTTGATAATTTTTTTTCTCCCGTTATATTTACAATGATGTTATTTTTGGTATATATTTGTAACGGTACTAATAGATCTTAGATTACGATTCAGAAACATTCTAATGTTCTAGATAAACGTCTTAATTTTGAGTATTTTAAATGATTTTGTTTATTCGGCTTCCGTTGGATTTAGAGCTTACAAAATAGAATAGCTCTTTTGTACCAACATAATAAAATGTTGACAATTTAGTTTTATATTTAAATTAAATTTACAGTTTTACAATTTAATAGTATTGATGCGCGATTTTTTTAAATTTACTTTTGTTTTAGGTGCCCCAAGAAGATCTAACAATCTCATCACAGATGAGATTGTTAGATCTTCTTGGAATTAACTAGGAAGTTCACGCCTCTTTCCTTTCCGATGGCGCCTAGAGCTCGCTTTGAAACCTGGATCTCTTGCTTCTAGCACTTTAACCACAGCATCACGGCTGCTCATTAAAAAAAAAAAAAAAAAAAATATTTAAAAACATTTCTTCTAGTCCGCGTCACATAACAAATTTTGTTATTTCAGAACTTTGAATTTAAAGTTATTACACAACAAATAAAAGCTTAAATAATAAAAAGTTAATATATAAATCATATATAGAAAAATAATCATTAAGCTGATAGAAAACCAATTTAATGAATAAATACTTAAATGTTTTGTTATGAACACCTTTATTTTTGCAACAAAGTTTGTTTTATTTATTATCAGACATAAACAAAAATATTTGACATAAGAGTTGAAGATAAATTATACTTAAAAGTACTTATGATATAAAAACATACGTAAGTGTTTATTAATTATGTTTGCTTAGAGCAAGGCCAGAAAACATACGGTGTAAGTGTTGTTGGAAATTATGTTTGCTTAGAGCAAGGCCAGAAAGCTAATAGCCAAAGTAAAAGTCAATAAACTATTTGTCTTTAGTTATTGTTCTATAAACATATTTATTTCTAAAAATTGAGAAAAATGAAAATGTGTAAAAAATTTAATAACAAATTTTAATTGTGTATAACCAATTTGTTACTAAAAAATTAAGGCAGACCCTTACTTAATGTATATGATTTTTTTTAAATTTAAAAAAAGTTAAAGGTGGCACACGGTGATCATATAGGAGGTTTTGATAATTTTTTCGAATCCAATTGAACCACCCATAAACAGTATTTAAAAATAAAAATATTTTTTTTTTTAATTTTGAATGTTACCTAAACAAATAACTAGGTACTCTGCCACAACAGCCTTTTAACAGAGAAAGAGTTGCTGAAAGTGTCAAAATATAGGCAAAAAAAAAAAAAGATATTTACTAGGTTGAATTAGTTTAAAAGAAATCTTTTTAACTCAAGTTTTAGTTTATAAGTTGCGCAGACAGACAAAAAAAAAACTTTGAAAACGTTCAAGGTAAACTCGGATGAGTCAAAAACATCCAAAATGTTAAATTGGAACTCTGAGTGCAACCCTAAAACGTTTTTAAAATTTCAAAAATAAATTTTTTACGAACCAAGGTGCAATGATTAGAACGGTTGCTTCAGAATCAATTCAGAGTGTATGGATTTTGCTAATAATTAAAATATTGTTAATTTAAAGCTATTTGAAAAAATAAACCATATCAAATTCATCCAGGTGTATTAAATATATATTTTTACACACCCTGATGTATATTAAATTTATACTTTTAACACACCCTGATATGTCGTTGTTGTAAAAGTTTCAATCAAAAAAATTTTTTATTTTTGAATAGAGTTTTTTTTTATTTTTCATGTTTAATATAACTTTTAAGTCATATTAAACATGAAACTTTTTATTTATATATTAATGGACATATCTTTTTTTAACAACAGGTTCTTGCTGATTTTTTTATCAACTAACTTGAGAACTTATTCTTCATGAAATAAGTTAAAATAACTTTTTCATTTTAATGAATGCGCAAATATAATATATACAAGGTTGGCGCGATAGGGGTGTGTGAGATCCCCCCCCCCCCCCCATATAGATGATTATTTCGTTCATTTAGTCGGCAAATTTGACCCTTTTTGACTATTTAGTCGGCAAATGTAGACCCTTTCGACAAATTAGTCGGTAAATTTAGACAGTCAGTCGGCAAATGTCGTTACAGCAGTTGGAGGGCAGTCGGCAAATTTTAAAACAAGAGGATTTTTTTATTTTTTTTTTAGTGGGCAAAAGTTGTAATGGGACCCCCACGTGACACCTACTCGCGCCGGCCCTGAATATATATAATAAAAAGACCTAAAAATAATAATATATATAATAAAAATTGTTGTCAATTAAAGGTAAAATATATAAACGTATTTATATTCAGAGAAATACACATACAGATTAGAAAAAGAATTATATCAGAAATAAATGACATATAAATAAAGTATTAATTACAGTTAAATGTCAATTATAAAAAATTTAAAATAGAAAAACACGATGGGATGATTTATGAAACAATACAAATGTAAAGATGTTATCAAATGTAAAAACGACGTCCTAAAAAAACTTTTTGTTGCTGATAAGTTTGATCAAATTTAATGGAGACCCAATTTGATATACTAAAATAAGCATAAAAAGTATGCAACTGCATATTAGTTGCATAAAGCATTTTAGTTACAAATGAAAAATAAAAGATTCAGTATGCTCTCAGCTTTAAATGCTAACTGAATGAGAAAGTCTCCCTTTCGTTTGTTCTAAAAAATCGTAGATTGCTAGGATATATAGACAGTATAGTAATAAATATTAAATTAATAAGATAAGAAATATTAGTTTTATATAAATAAATCCTTTAAAAAATAAAAAATACATAATACTCAATTAACGCACAACGTCTAAAATACATCTTTAAAAACGTAAAATTGTCTTAATTTATGTTACTTAAAAAAACGTTAATAACGCTTTTGAGACGTTTTTCAGATGTCGTGCATTGATTTGGTATCTAGCTAGCACACCACGTTAGACGTCGGTAGAAGGTTAGCTGATTAATACCGACATTGCTTTGACTTTGGCCCAAAATAGTGTGCTAGCTGGGTAATATGTTGTTGTATCCCTAAACTAATTGGTAACCAAAGTAATTGTTTTACGTAAAAAAATGAACGTTGTAAATGAGCGGTATATGCTATCATTACGTTATTAAATTTGAACTTATAAAGAAAAGAAAATATGTTAAAACATAAACAACATAAATATAAAAAAAGTCAACAATAAATAAACATTTAATGGTAAAACTGTTAAATCCAAGTATAGAAGGAGTGGTAATAAACTTAAACTCTAAATTAAATGTTATATGTATAATTGTTTGCACAACTTTATTAACCTACATTTTGTTAACTTTATAAAACTTACTTGTGACTAATCTTTAGATAAAAAAAAAAATCCACTGTGCTAATGGTAAAACAACTTTTCCAAAAACAAATGTGATACTGACCTCGTTAACATTTTATGCGGTTTTATAGTAAGCTTTTAAGAAAGACCGAAAACAAAAACCTGCGTGACTCCTTCTAAAGTTCTAAACTAGGTGATAATACCTTAGGTGATAAAAAAAAATAACCACAGGTGTTCAGTATACTTAATAATTAATTCTATGACGCTCTATTGATCTATTTGTGACAACAAATGTATTATTTGAAAAAAAAAAAAAATAATAATTCTCATATAAATTAACATCACGTTCAATTAACATAAACCATAAAACCCTCAAAAATAAATATCAACTTAAGTTGCATAAATAAAAAAACGACCCGCCATTAAAAGGAAAAAAAAAAATTTTTCTTTTAAAAACCTTAATGTTTATTCGTTGTACCAGTTTTTAAACAGTCGGAAACATTAAGAGCGACAATTCTATACAAGTAGCCGCTTTGAGCCAATTACCTTGAATAACACTGAAAACGTTTTAAAACAAGATCTTAAAATAATAAAAATATGAAAAGAAAGCAGATCTTGTTTTTATTTATGCCAGTAACTTTTTCTTCCAAAGAAAATCTTTAAAAAAGTATTACTTTAACATTGTTTTTATGTCAAAGTATTAAAAAAAAGTATCTATAAAAATAATAAAAGGATTTGTTATTTGTTATTTAATTGGATCCCGTTGCTTTTTGAAATAAAATCTAAAACTTTTGATTATAATATTTCACACGCTCATGTTAAGCTCATGTGTTAATACTTAAAGATTATATTGAGAAACGGTGCGTCAGGTGTGTCAAGAATTTAGTGAAAGACAAAGCAAGTTTTGTTTGTTTATGTGTTTTTGTTCTAAAGAGATAACGATGCTGTTTGGTTATTTTGGTTCCAAAGTAATCAAAACTTCACATTTTAATAATTAAATAAATTGATAAACAAACTATATTTTCGGTAAATTTGTTAACGCCTTTCCGGATTTCGTTAATAAACAAACGAAGCGCTTGAACAAAAAGTGAAAGTTTTGCAAATAAAATAACAAACATAAATAAATAAAAGAAAACAACTTTAAAAAATTGGGCTGTTAGTAAGCATTAAATCTCAAAATTTTCATTCCCCTATTGATATTTTGGTTGATTGAAATATAAAAGGTACGCATCTCATGATAAAAAATTCGAAAAAAAACTTAAGATTACCGGTTGCGTTACTTTGAGTTCGAATCAAGACACAAATCCAATTTGTTTATTTTCTGACTTGAAACTAGAAAAAAAATTATTTAGTTTTATTTTCTTCTACTAAAACATTCATCTGCATTTTTTCTATTCAAAATTTATTTTTTTATTTTTTATTTCGTTTAATTAAATCTAATTTTTACAACAATTCAACTTTTACAGCAAAATCAACTTGGAGTAACAAACATTATTAAATCTAATTGAAACCTTGTTGGACCACATAACTTTCAATAAAAAAAATGAATAACTTTGGATTTGTTTGTTATTTGTCTTACTAAAATATTACATTATTTTTCACATCTCGTTATAACATACTCCGATGAGATTCATTTCTCTCTTCTATGACGCACCATTTTTTAATCTTAACAAAGTTTTTTTCAATTTTTTACACAATTTTTTAAGTACGCATATACACATTTAGTACGCAATACACATTAAGTACGCAGTACACATTAAGTACGCAATACACAATTTTTTAAGTACGCATAATTTTAAGTACATTCTAAGATTTCTTTAGCCGATTAAAGGATAGCACAATTCATACAACGTTTTATTACCAAAACAAAGAAAATGTCTCTAGTAATCGGTGTTATCTAGACACCAAGCACTAGACGCTGAATAATGTGTTTGAGGTAAAGTAGGCTTTACCTCTCATATAATTCAATCAATTAGAGCAAATATCATTTCTTTTGATGAGTTATTAGCAGCTCAGATTAATTTTTCTTTAATTTTAATTTTAATTTTTAAATTTAATGTTTTGTATATAGCGTTACAAGGAACGACCATTAACGACAAAAAAGTTTAAAAAATGAAAAGCAAGAATTTTTATAAAATTTATTATTGACTCAAAGAAGTCAATGTTAAGAAAACTATTTAAACACATAAAAACTGCAAGTGCTTTATAACGTTTTAATTTTAAAACAGTTGTTTTGGTAGTTGTTCATGGTTAAGTTGACAAGTTGCGTTTATTTTCAGTCATCTAAAAATGCCAAAAAACACATGGAATCTCTTTTTTTTTTTGCCATATAAAGTTATTTAACTCGTAAACCATAATATAAATACAATAGCAGGGGCAAGAGGAAGACATAATTTGTTTTATCACCAAGCCCCTTAGTCTATACCATAAATATAAAACAACAAAAATTAAAAAACGTAACACTATATAATATAAAACGTTTTTCTAAAGACTTTATAAAACAAAAATCATCCTAAAGTCCTACTTTAACTTTTTTGTATCAATTAAGAAAAATTAAAAAAAAAGTAATTAGTACAAAGAAACTATATTACTAAAAAGCATGCAAGCAAATACGAATAATCCTGAAGCTTTCCTTTTACACCAGCATATACCTTGAAATTTGTGAATATTTTTATAAACCATTTTTTTTTTTATAAAAAGAAAAAAAAAAAAACGAAGAAAAAAAAGAATTGAAGCAATAACAAGTGGCACAATTCTTTTCTAAGATCGTCAAGCCGATAATGACAAACCTCTAATTTTGGGTTGGTTTAACAGTAGCAACCATTACAACTTCAGAAAAAGCTGACTTTTTGATCGAAATGAGTCATGAAAATTATTCCAAGTTTTTGTGATTTTTACAACTTATCTTAATGCAATAGCATCAAGTACACGCATACTTCACTCAAACTTAACTTTTTTTTATTAATTTTTTATTCTTTTTATCGTTTAGAGATCTGTATTGCTGTTGTACTTAGTTGTCAAAATTAGGAGGCAAGCTGGCCATACATTTCAACTAAAAACGTTTTATTGGACTGAAGTTTAAAAAGTCTTCAGTTTTCAATTCTAAAATTTTTTGATTTACTATAATACATTATAGTAGATTTGTACAAATGCGAAACTATAAAAGAAATACAGACAGGGGTACAACTTCTAAAAATTGTTATAAAAAATGCTGTTGATACTGTGAAAGAGAAAATCTATACGAAAGACCACCGAAGACTTCAATATTCCTGAAAAAAGTTTGTCCAACTCTACAGCAATAACGACAAAGCCAATTAACATCAGGCTACATAAAATCTAGACAGGTCAGTCTATCTGCGTGTGATATGTCTGCATATTTTTTTATTGTTGTTGTTATTATTTTTAGGTGCCCCAAGAAGACCTAACGGTCTTGTCACAGAGCACCGCGGAAGTGCATTTAACCAAGAAGTTTACGCCTCCTCCCTTACCGTGATGCGAAAATACGTAAAGAGCTCGTTTCGAACCTGGATCTCCTGCTTATAAAGCAGGCGCTCTAACCATTGCGCCACGGCCGCACATATATAAATAGTGTTATCTGTTTTAATAACATTGTTAATTTAGGTTTTTACTGACTTATAAGAAAATCTGTAGGAACAATTCGTCACAAAAGTTTCTGATATTTATTTTGCACTTAGGATCCCCTAAGGAAGTGAGGAATTTAGTTTACCGGTACGATAAAAACAATTAAAATAAAATTACCGGATAATTTTTATAAAAATGAAGCAGCTGCGGAAGACTGTTTCACTATTTACCATGTAAGACACAAAAAGCTATTTATCTAAGAACACATGAAGCAAAAGGTCATGCACGTATTTCCAGTTTCATTTTAAAAAAAGTCTTATAACCATATATATATATATATATATATATATATATATATATATATATATATATATATATATATATATATATATATATATATATATATATATATATATATATATAACATAAATAATAAAACAAATGGCTGGAGCAAGAAGAAGACATCAGTTTGTCTTATCACCGAGCCCCATAGTGACTTCATTACAGGTCGTTTTTTACAACAAAATGTATAAAATCGTGATAAATTGTTTGTGATAAAATATGTAAAAATGTGAAAAACTACGTTTTACAATTGATATAACTGTTTATATATAAATTTGTTTAGTAAAATAAATTTAGAACAAGTAAAAGTTAAAACAAATAAAAGAAATAAATTGTGCTAGTTTATTTTTTTACTAAAAAAGATAAAAAAGAAAAAGAAAATTTAAGTCCGTAGATAATAAAAAACGCTTTGATTTAGATTTGAACTGTTCAAGTGTATTTCTTTTGATAGTAACAATCTGGGAAAAAATTTTCCACAAATAAGGTCCGCGGTGCTGGATTGAGTATGAATTTAACTTTAATGTAACTTTTGGGATGACAAAGTTGTTATATGAGAATCTAGTAGGGTATTTATGACTTATTTCGCTAAAATAGGGTTGAAATATCGGCGGAGATAGTCCATTTTTTATTTTGTACATAAACTGTAAAACAAGATGTATGTTAATTTTGTATATATTCAATGCTCCAAGTTTGCATAAGAGAGGTTCACTAGTTTTTTAAGCTTAGTACAGTTTGTGCTTGCCCAGGCCATGTTACCATAGCTTAGATGACTATGTATTAATGAAAAGTATAAACTTCTTAAGGAAATGATATTTAGGAAAGGTTTTGCTTTATACATTAATGAAATATTTCTTGAGAGCTTTCTCTCTAAAGTGTTTATATGGAGCTTCCATGACAAATTTTCATCCAAGACCACACCAAGAAAGTCTATAAAATTTTCTCTTTTTATATTAGTATTATTTATTTTAAGATCAGGTAGTTTAAGAGGAATATTTTCGTTTTTATTTGGTTTATGAAATAGGATGAACTTGGTTTTTTTGACATTCAAAGAGAGTTTGTTACACCTAAACCACTTGTTTATTTTATGTAATTCTTTGTTAGCTATGTTAAAAAGTGTCCTAATGTCTCTATGCGAATAAAACAAATTGGAGTCATCCG